CCAATATTTGTCACTTTTTATGAAAGAGAATTACAGAAAATCACATACAACCCCACCTCATAATATAAAATAGATAAAGTAATTGACACTCGTTATTTAGGTAACAGAAAAGAAGTGCAAAGTTTATCCAGATAAATTTAACAGTTGAATTTTAGCTTCTAGTTTAAAAGAAATATGGATGGTTTTCAAATCGATGGAAAATTTCTTTCCTTTCCTTTCCTCATAACAAGATCACAAATTTTTCAACAAAATTACCAAAAGCTATGAAACAGAAGGTGAATGGTCGGTTGGAGTAGTCGAGTTTCATTATCCATGTACCATGTTTACTGTTCAAGATCAGGAAAATCTTATATACATTACAAAATCCATGTTAATGACTAATGAAGATAAACCGTCCACAGTGTACTACAAAAATATATTCCAGCTACCAACTACGATAACGTTGAGCATATTTTAAGAGCGTTAAATGGTATCGGAGAGAACTCGAAATTACGCTGTGATGAAATGACAAAAGTTGTGTCTCTGTTTGGATAAAAATATATCATTCGTAACATTATCACCCAAATTAAGTTTACACTTAGGTTATGAAACAAATAAAAACCTCTTAGCGAGAAATTTTGCAAAGTGTCCTGCTAATTTACACTTAGGGTTACCATCTCAATTATTTCTATATTGCGACATTATCGATCCTCAGATTGTGGGTGATGTTATGACTCCTTTACTAAGAGTCATTTCATTAGATCCTATAAAATACTTTTAAGGCGCAAATAAAATGCACGTTTTCTCTCCAACTCACTACTTACCTGTTATGCGAAGAGAGTTCGATACGCTGGAAATAGTTATAAGATCGAGCACAGGACAAAAAATACCATTCCAGTTTGGAACCGTGTGTATTAAACTACATTTCCGAAAATTCTTATAATGAATTCCATCCGTGATTATCACAAATGTCCATATGAAAATTATTATACACATCAAGCTGTGTCAGGAGTTGGAGTAATTTGTAAGAGTTCACAACGTAAGTCATGGTATTGGGAGCTTCTTAGGGGTATTATTTATATCAGGTTTATCTTTACTTTCAAGTGGTGCTCAAGCGATTGGCAAGGAGGCATTAAGCGCTGGAGTAGGATTTCTGTCGGATATGGTTCAAGCGCGTCCTATGGAAGCCTCAATAAAAGATCGTCTAAAGCATGTTAGTACGAATTTAAAACGAAAGTTTGATGACAAAATTGATCAATTTATCATGAAAGGATCTGGTTATATAACTAAAAGAAAACGATTGGCCTCGTTCATTCCACCATTAACTGCTAAAGAGAAAGCTGCGAAAAAAACTTGGTCTAAAACTAAAAAATATCAAAGATATATTTTCAAATTAAATATGTTTTTCATTCATGTGAATGCGTTAAGTCAGGATAGAATTTGTTTGCGCTACCGTCTACACGCAAGCATTGAAAATGGATTGTGGGCTCAATATAAACTAATTTCGTCTCTTGCTAATGATGGACCTATCGAGTTTCAAGTTCCTGGGACCGGCGATTATTACATAGGTACTCTCTACTATACTATACTGTGTACAGTACTACTATACTACAGTATAGTATAGTATACTATACAGTATACTATACTATACTGTACTATACTATACTGCACTATACTATACTATACTGTACTATACTATACTACACTATACTCTATACTCATACATTACTCCACATAAAGGCAAAAGTATTAAATCAAGATTTAACTAACTTGATGTCACCTACAGTAGTAGCACCTGTAAATAATTGGCTGCATTCACATTTTAGTCAACTTAATGTTTATTTAAACCAAAAACTTGTATTACCGCCTAATAATACCTATGCATAATGATTTCTTAAATTTACGCGAACACTACACATTGAATAAAACTAAATTTACGGATTCTATCGCGTTTATTTAACTAACTGATTTTACTTATTTTTAATTCCCGACGTTTCGGGTGCTTTACAGCAACCATGGTCACGGGGGGACTGAGATGTTTGACGTCCCAATGTCATTGTTAGCCAGGCTACCTTCAGTTTTTGAATATTAATTTTTGGTCCGATTTACGCAAACCGTACTTACAGTATCTTGAAGTCTTGCAGTGGTATGCTTGGGTTTGGGTTTTTTAATTTTGTTAATTATAGGATCCCAAGCAGATGGCAGCACCCAACCATCTTCTCTATTGAAATTAGGATGTTTTTTTTAATTTCAATAGCCTCGCGTATCATCCTTGGAAGGAATCGGTGTTCTTTTGCGAGGATTTGTGGTTTATCAAATCTGATGTAATGGTGGGGACGATCTTGAACATGTTCACAGACTGCAGACTTCCCGGAGCGTCGGTGCTTCACGTCAGATATATGTTCTTTCACACGGATTTTTATGGATCTTTTTGTTTGACCTATGTAAGAGAGACCACATTCACAATCTAACTTGTACACTCCTGCATCTTGTAGAGGGATATTACACTTGACGGATGGTAAAAATTGACTAATCTTCTTCGGCGGCTTGTAGTATGTTTTAATGGAAGCTCGCTTCAAGATGTAGCCAACCTTGTCTGTGACTCCTCTGACATATGGTAGTACAGCAGGCACACGCTCGACTGTGGCCGGCTTCACTCGGTCACAGTGACGTAGGCGCGGGATCCGAAGCTTGTTGTCTTGCAACACTTGCTTGACATGCTGCAGCTCGGCGGCCAGATGTTTTCTGTCACAGATCCCTCGTGCTCTCTGAAACAAAGATTTACCCACGGTAGCTAACTGTGAAGGATGATGGTGAGATTCACCATTTAAATATCGGTTGGTATGGGTCTTTTTTCTATACACAGTGTGACCAATAGTGTTATCAGGATTTCGAATGACTAAAACATCTAGGAAAGCTAAAGAATTATTTGCCTCTAACTCCATTGTGAATTGTATTTTAGAGTTTATAGAGTTAAGTGGTTTAAAAATGCAGTTACTTTGTCAGATGGTAAAATTGAGAAGGTGTCGTCTACGTACCGCTTGTAGAATCTCGGATTTACAGGAACAGTAAGAAGGGCTTTCTCCTCGAAGTCCTCCATAAATATGTCGGCGAATATGAGAGATACAGGTGAGCCCATCGCCACACCATCTACTTGTTGTAGAACTCTTCCTTCCACAATAGATAGCCAGATGTGAGGCAATGTTTGAGTAATACTGCATATTCAGCAGGCATGTTGTTACCTTCTAGCTTCCTAGTTACAATTGAGATGCAGTATTCAATAGGTAGGCATGTGAATAGTGACTGAACATCAAAACTGACCATAGTTTCATTGTCAGCGAGATGTAGGTCTTTTATCTCACTAACAAAATGGTATGAATCCTTTGTGTGTGCTCTGGTATGTCCTCTCAGTGGTGACAGTATTTTTGCCAAGTATTGTGCCAGCTTATAAGTTGGTGAATCGATCTGGCTCACTATAGGACGTAGTGGAGCGTTTGGTTTGTGTATCTTCGGTAACCCATGCAACCTTGGTGGTTTGGTACATAATGGTATTAGCGAATTCACGTCGAGATTTAATTTTTCGGAGTATTTCTTTATTAAATCGCTAGTTGCTTTAAGCGTGTTAGTTGTGGGGTCTGTTTTGACCTTTTTAGTATAGTATAGTAGTATTTTAAAACTATACTCTGACGTATCCATTATTACCGTAGCATTTCCTTTATCCGCGCGGAGAATCGTTAGCTCTGGTCACAAAGATATACCGACCGAGTTCGGTATATCTTGCGCATGAGTATATTTGATGCCAGGTTTTGCTCTGTGACGGTTATAGATAGCTCCAGCTCAGCAATAAGACGATGCATCCTAGCCCGATACACAAAACCTCCAACTTCTCCCCCTTTTGCCCTAAAATACGCCCGCAATGCATTTGTTTTCATTTTGATGGTCCATCGCATGCGGTGTACTCCACCAGTGGTGGGTATCGATTACTGGGCCTGTGAAGACCCTGCCGACACCCAGCAAGCTGGTGGGGTTGATGGATGCAAGGGGCTGCTGGGTGATCTTGCAGCACTTCGCGCTCTGTTGGCGGCTCGCATGCTGTCGCGTCAAGCGCTAGCTCCAGACGCGCCCCGGCGACCTCCAGGCAGCGGCCCTTTACGCGGTCTATTAAGTTCCATCATCCTATAGTTGGGCGTCAATCCGTTAGTTTTTCGTCCGGAGACGCCCAGGCCCAAAAAGTTTCCATCTGATAGCTTGAGCTTTTCGTATTATACGATCTCATAATAATTTGTGGTTTGTGAGACTTATGACTGTCTGGACGTTACAATTTTGACGCGGGTAACCACTACGCGGTGAAAAGCTAGTTTTAGATAAATGTAAGTGTAGTTTCAAGTAGAAAATAAAATTTTCACCTCATTTACACTATTTCAATTGTCAGTACAGTATTATTGTGCTTCAAATTTAATTACAATAACGTTGTATTAGTTGCAAGCGCGTTTCTTAAAAGTATTATGTAAAATCTTATTAGTTGAAGAAGTTTTGTATTTCGTTTTATTTATTAACTAATCAGTACTTTTCTTAACCCATCTATATTAATTCTATACTAAATACTATTCAAGATTGTTAGGCCTCTTTTATTGGCAGGTTCGACAATAAATGTAGCGTGGTCTAAACGCTTCCAATAGTTTCATTATAAATAAGAGTAATGGGTGGACACTTCACCAAACTCCACTTTTTCACATTTTTTTGGTATGTGAAAAGCCAGATATTTTGATACGACCTCAGTCCTGCTGACAATACAAACATCAAACTAAAGCACCTTCTAGATTTATATTTTATATTATATTATATACTAAAAATATAAAGAAATTATAACAATACCAAAACTTTAATTTTGCTGTCTCATGAGCGTTTCATCAATTAGATTAAGTTTTATGGCTTCCTTCAGTACGGTAAGTATTCAGTAGCTATAGTAGAGAATGGACTTCATTTTGTCCTGGTTTGTCAATATAAAATACTAGAAAAAAATGCCAAAAAATAATAAATACGGTAGTCAGGAGACCATGCCGGTATTACTATTAATAGTACTATGTGTGTTCACTATATAACATTTATAAACTTATAATATTTTACGACTTCTATAATTAAGTGTTCAAAATTAAATAATATACGCATGTGTCACAGTGTTACAGAATCTTTTAGGCCAATGTGCGACTAATATCCTTCATTTTTTTCATTTTTAAGAACAAAGATGCAAATGATGATCCAATTGATTTGGACGATTTATTACCTAAAATCGGTGAATTTGGCATCTACCAAAAACTTCTCCTGTGGTTCGTGTGCTTGCCTGCTTGCTTACCGTGTGGTTTCTGTGCTTTTAATCAGCTGTTTATGACAGACGTCCCTGATCACTGGTGTCGAGTTCCAGAACTACAAAAATTTAATTTAACTCAAGATGAACAAAAACTTTTTACAATACCACGTAAGGTAATACTTTCCTTTAATAATACACGCAAAATAAACAAAAAGAATTGGTTATTTGCAATAGTTATCCTCTCCGGCCAGACCAGATCAAGGTAATCTTTTTTGCAACGCCCACAATTCTGAGTGGCACGTGTCCCGTGTAATCGATTACACGGGCAGGTTCCAGACATACTATACCGGATCTTCTGTTGATTTTTTATCATTTACTTGTCCTTTGCGGCTGCAGTTCATATAGCTGTAGTGGAGTATTTTACGCATCCTGACAATATAGACGGAGGCGGGGGATGGGGTGGATAGGGGTTGTTTCCCGCTATAACTAAACCTTTTAAATCATATAATTATTGGTCAAAATATGGGTCAAATGATGGACTTGATGATTGGGCGTACCGTAGGGATTCCGATTTAAAGATTTGTTGCACACTGTCGTCGTGCGACAAACGAAGCCTAAATCGCACTATCAAAGTTTCGAAATTACCGCGCTATGTATAGAACAGCTCCGGAATAACATACAGAGTTGAACACCTTGCCCAGTTGGAGATCTCCCCTTTACCTGGTGTGGTTAAAATATAAGGAAATTGCGCAATGTTGTTGTATTCGCTTTTTATTTTAGTATTACGTACCTAATTATTTCATCAAAATTAATATTTGGAATTCGCATGATCTACCATCACGAATTCGTGTTTAGAGATGCCATAAGTTGTCGTCTTTCGTTTTTGCACCGATTATTTGTAAAAATAAATATTTGTCGTCAGAACTAAAGGAAGCACGGTCAATTCGATACCTCTTGTCATATATATATATATATATATATATATATATATATATATATATATATCCGATATAAATATGAATTGGTCGTGAAAAATGAAAAAAAGTAGCCGTTTTTAATGTATATTTGCCCGCAATTGCCTATATAAATGTTATGTGATTTAAGTTAAAACCTAAAGTACTTCGATCGGGTTTCACTTAATGTAAATATTGAAAGACACCCCCGTTGTTACCTGTAACAAAATACTGGGCTTCGATATGTCGAGTGAGATTTAGTAGTTATTTTTTAGTAGAGTAGAGCAGATAATACTTCATGCTGTCATATCATCATCATTATCATATCAAAATTCTACTGCTGATCATATCGTATCGTACCTCATATCGTACGAGTACTCGTATGTTGCTACAGTTGCCACGATTCGCAAGCGAATTGTCAATTGCAATTTTTTATTATTCGTTATCAGGTAAATGCTACTGTCCATCTTCTGTTTCATAATTCATGCTGGCACATTAAATACTATTATCATCTTTGAACCGTAACACCCTAGTTTCAAACAGTTCCTTTCATTTAAACGCATCCAACCAAGTGACCCACAGTAGTGGCGTGAAAGAATCCATTAACACATTTCGTCCCGTGGGCGTCGTAAGAGGCGGCTATAGTAAATGCCAAAAAGATCATCAATTCTAACCATCTAGTATACCCTAGATGATAATACACAAACCGGCGGCGGTGAGCATCAAAGGTGCAATACAATACTTCTGATATTGCGATAATCATATCATAATATTGTATATACCTGCCCAGCGTGACGAATAAAAGAGATTTTTCTCTGTGTCTACAAAGGCAAATCTTCCCTGTCTCCATATCAAATAATGGATTTTAACGTCTGAAGATGTAAAAACAGAAGAATTTGCGTCGTCGATACTTTAGTAATACATATAGGTAGATAAGTTATTTCTGATCTAATCTATCTCTGATTTAAATATTAATTCTTATTCAATTCTCTGATTTAATTATTATTAATCTATTTCTGATCTGGCCTAAGTACGAAGAAAGTCTCTTTGTAATTTCTATCGTAAGCAAGTAGAATTTTTTGAGAAAATTGGGAATATTTCTAAGGGTTGATTTGAAACTTTTTTTCTATGCGTCATTTGAGACTTGCGTTGAACACAATAAAGTTATTTATCATTTATATTATTTTCAGGTAGATGACAACACAACTTTTGAGAAATGCACTCGTTATTCTATTAATTGGTCGGAAATCATATCCCCAGATAAAATTGAAGTAAACAACAGATGGACTCAAGAACCTTGCCTGGATGGTTATGAATATGATAAGTCGGAAGTGATATCGTCGGTTGTGATCGATGTGAGTCCAAAAATGAAAATGCTATAAAACTCTCTAAAAATATACATTATCCATTTTAACTTTATTTTTCATTTATATAACTTTGAAAAGGTAAGACAATGATACTTTTTTCACCAACTTTTAAAAAAGGGGAGGTTCTCAAATCGACTAGGCAGCGATCGAGGAAGCAGGAGTCTAAGCAGCATAGCAAAATCTTTGTTAATATTACTTTTTTGATAAATATTTAGTAGAAGTATTGTAATATATATCAGAGAATTTATTTTTCAGTTTGATCTAGTTTGTGACTATGACGTTTATCCAACCTTGGGTCTTGTGGCTCTCAATGTAGGAGGACCAATCGGTGTTTATACTTTTGGAATTTTAAACGACCGTATTGGACGCAAGAAATCTTTTTTCACCTGTCTAACAACGCTTCTGATTGGAAGTTTAATGACTGCATACGCACACAAGTACTGGTTTTGGGTACTTGCAAGAGCAATAGTCGGTTTAACCATACCCGCTATATATCAAATACCATTTATAATCTGTAGGTATTTCTTTTTTGCTAATAGACTTAATATAAAATAACTGATGTAAATTTGAAGATTTTTTAAGATAATAGTTTGTTTTAGCTTTGGAGCTAGCTGGGCCAAATTATCGATCTTTTGTAACTGTTATGACATGTATTTTTTATACTTTGGGATTGGTGTTGTTGTCTGGCATTACATACATGTTACGTGACTGGAGGTCTCTGGCATTAGCTACATCAGTACCATTTTTTTTATACTACTTGTACTGGTTCGTCTTACCGGAATCGCCCAGATGGCTGTTGATGCGAGAAAGATTTGAAGAAGCAAACAATATTCTAAAATCAATAGCTAAAGTGAATGGTAAAGAGTTGCCAATAGAGTACACGAATAAAATTCAAAGACAGGTTTTGGAACAAGCTATGAATGGTGTGAAGGAAACTAAAACAGTCAGTATGTTTGCTTTGTGTCGAACACCTAATATGAGACTTAAAACATGCTTAATCACATTAAACTGGTGTGCATCAGAAATGGTATATGTTGGCTTGAGTTACTACGGACCAGCTATGGGAAACAGTCAATATATGAGTTTTTTTCTCTCATCGGTAGTAGAAATACCAAGTTACTTAGTTTGCTGGGTGCTAATGGACCGCGTCGGGCGACGATGGCCACTGTGTTTATCAATGGTTATAAGTGGAATATTCTGTATTGTGACAGTTTTGTTGCCAAAAGGTAAATATTAATTATTTTTTATACAACACCATACTAAAACATTACATGTATATAGTGAACTCTTCTCTTCTATTAGTGGACTCTCGCCATCACCCGTCTTTGTAATTCGACTTGGTCATGTCATAACCATCGTTCAAGAAAATGCTGTAATCTCTGACTTCAAATTAGTAGTATTTATTGATAGATCATTTTCATAATATTTTTACCGTCTGGAAATAAATAGGGTGTAACAGGTGAACGGAATAGAAGCCTATGGCACTGATATTTTCCAATTGTTTTGTTTCACATTGACATATTACGAAATTGATCTATCAATAAATACTACTAATTCGAAATCAGAGATGATTATGATATAGTAGCATCATATATAAATTCTACGACTGAACACTGTTCAACAAATCTCCTCTCATTTTTGAGAGGAAATGAGCAACTCTGGAGCGTCTCCACTATGTATATTGGTGAACTTCATACATCCGCGAAATATTTTTCTTTATTTAATTTCATAATATTGTCTTTTTTCGCTGAACACGTTGTAAACCAGCACTAAAAATTTCAATTAAAATCAGTTTGATACCGCGTACGTTTTAATACGAGCGCTTATCCCTTGAGCAGCAGCTTAGCTGACTAGTGTATTCACGGCATAACCATTATATTATGATAAAATAAAAATAATAGTATTGTGAGGTCATACGACATCCACTTAACAAAATCAATTTATTCCTTTATGTCCATCACGATTCGTTAAGACGGCGAAGATATATTATACGATTTATCTAATACTTTATAACTATGATTCACAGACGCAGAAACGGAAACCCTAATCTTATACTTGATCTCAAAATGCTTCATTTCTGCATCATTTCTAATAATATATCCTTATGCCGGTGAATTGTACCCAACACAATTACGAGGAGTAGGAATCGGAACTTCGGCGTATATTGGTGGATTAGGTTTAATCATTATTCCTTTCGTCAATTACCTGGTAAGAGAGCTAATAAAAGTTTATATTTATAGTATAAATACTAACTTTAGTTCCTTTAGCTTTTAATCTGTGAAAATCATATTGGCTTTTGTGTTACCTGCCATAAAGGCACTTTAAATATACTATTGCTTGAAAAGTCACTAGACCTCCCACTGTTAGATTTTTATCTGTGGGGTGAAATACAAAGACGTGTTTACGTCAAAGAGGCCCGACGCTAACCCAACGCTATGAAAATCGCCGCAGTTAAATTATTGCGGCATTCACGGAAGATAAAAGTGCTCAAGCACAAGTAATAATTGTAATTGTGTATAACACATAATTAGTTGTAAAAAGTTTATTTTATTTTTTAAATACGCCATAATAATGACTGTTATCGGTTACGTCATTGATAAGCAATTTTTTTAAAATTTTATTGTTTTTTGGCGATCCTTAGCCCGTTGAAAGTGTGAATGAAACCACAATTCTTGTCGTGTAATTATTAACTCAAGCATTACATAATAGTGTGCGTACAAGAAACAGTAGGCAAAAACTTTGTAGATCATACACAGGAGCGCGCATACGCTGTAGTTGTTGCCCATAAATCATTATATTTGGGATAATTTCAAATATTAAATATACATCGGTATGACATCGTTTATTATGACATTTTGCCGCCGGGTAAAACCGTCGATTTAGATCTCTACTGCCAACAACTAATGAGTTTCAAGCAAGAATTTGAAAAAAAACGGCCGAAATTGATCAACAGAAAAAGAGTGGTCTTTATCATGATAAAGCCAGGCCACATACATCTTTGGCCACTCAACAAAAATTGAGAGAGCTTGTTTAGGGAGGTGTTAATGCATCCACCATATAGTTCTGACCTTGCATCTCCAGATATTCACCTGTTACGGTCTCTTTAGAATTCTTTGGGTAGTGTTAGGTTAACATCAGACTACCAAACTACTTGTCGCATTTTTTTGATAAAAAATTCAAATAATTCTACGGCAAATTGTACCGTCACTACTTACAAGATGAAAACAAGTTATCTAATACAATAGCACATATATATTACAATAAAACGTAATTAAATTTTGAAACAAATATCTTGAATATGTATATAAAATACGAAGAAACTTTTCCACGACCTAATATGCGTGCGTGCGTACGGGCGGGCGTGCGTGGGTGCGTGTGTTTAATATTTATTATATATTTAAAAATAAGTATGAAAATATATAACATATATTTACATAGTTAGTATAGTTGCCTCTCAGACGAAATAAAGAGTTTTTATTTCGTCTGAGAGTTGCCTCTATGCGGGAGTATTACGGTCCGTAGCTCTGTATGGGGCGCATGTATGGGCAAAAGGGCTGATCATTAGACGCTGTTGTGGTGGTAGTGAGCCAGAAGAGGCGCTCGATTCAATTAAATGGCAGGAACGATAAAACGCTCTGGCGACATGGCACATTCGACTCGAGGAGCGCTATGAACGCAAACGCGTCATTAGAGCAATCCTGCCGGTCTTCGAATCCTGGATGCAGCAACGAGTAGGAAGACTCACCTAGAGACTTACACAGATAATTAACGGTCACGAATGCTTCGGTGATTATCTGTGTAGTTCGGACTCGAGGCGACGGCGAACTGCTTCCACAGCGGAGGACGGGACAGGATTTCGCTTTCCACACCCTCGTGGTTTGCCCAGCTTGGAAACGGGAGCGGATGATTCTGATAAACCGCATCGGATGGAATCTCTCCCTGCCAGCAGTCTTGTTGTCGCGGAGGGGTGAAGCCACCTTCTGTGAATCCGTGGAGGACGGAGTTGAAGAGCTTCTGAAGGACTAAGTACCGGTGTTCCACACGCTTTCAGTAGCTCCGCTGTAATTCCATCCTCGCCGGGGACGTTGCCGTTTTTAAGATGCTGGAGAGCCATTCTAAACTCGCTCAGACTGACGTCCGGGTATATCATCGGAATAGTGTCAGAGAAGACTTGCTCTTGAATCGTTACTCACACTTACGTGTGGCTCCAACGATGATGTGTACAGCTGCCCATAGATCCTCTCAATCTCACTCAAAATCCCATGTGTCTCGGAAACGATGCTGCCACACTCAGTCTTCATCTTTGACAGTTGGCTCTTTCTGGCAGACAAATCTCTGGTAAAGACTTTGGAGCCCTGGTTCTGCTCAATCGTTTCTTCAATACGAGTTGTATTGAAGTTACGTAAGTCCCACTGCATGCATTTAGAGACTTGTCTGTTCACTTGCCTATATGCTGTCAAATAGAATACACAGAAAGACAAAAATCATAAAAATAACTGATTTATGTTTAATATCACTTATGTACATGAAACAAATACAATAATAACACATCTTTTCTACAAATTTAATTGTGTATGTAGATTATTTCATCCTCCTCAAAAATTTTATATTCTTTTTAATAGAAGTCCATTTAACTCCAGATTATTTAAAAAGAGAATTAACTTTTGTAACAATTTATTCTAGGGATCCAGCAATTTAGTACTGCCTCTAGTTGTAATGGGGGCAGTGTCAGTAGTAGGTGGGCTAACCGCTCTTCGACTACCAGAAACTTTGCATTGTTCATTACCTCAGACAGCAGAAGAAGGAGAAGAATTCGGTAAAGATTGGACATATGCAGACTGTTTCAAATGCGGCGGGCAAAGGTGAGCTAAATACGAGATCATTATTTATGACTGCAAATATTATATATACCTACCTAAATTATTCCAACTTTATCGCAATTCTATATTTAAATAATTGTTATACATTACTCCAAAACGAGCTAACTTACCTATATTTATCACACACCTAGTTAACTTTCGGGAGCGGTGCTGAAGGTTTTTAAAAATAACAATTATTTATCGATGACTTTGAATACTAATAGCTCATTACGATAATGAATTAAAACTAGTTCAGTGCAGTGTGACATCCACGTTGTTTAAAGTAACAGCGGTAAAGTTCTTTGCGACGAAAACCGGCTGTGCTTAAGTATCGGCTTCTATGAGTAGCTTGATAATCTCCTTTTCTATGGAGATCTTTTCACATTTTCATTTTTATATTGGATACTATTCATTACTATACATAATGAATTAAAACTAATTCATTGCAATACTGACATCCGTAACTTAGTAGGTGATTACATTACTACATTATGGACTATCATCATTACAGCCCTTCACAAGTCCACTGCTGAACGTAGGCCTCCCCCAAGTAACGCCACAAAGCACGGTCCTGAGCCACCTGCATCTATCGACTTCCTGTATGTCTTACCAGGTCGTCACTCCATCTAGTGGGGGGTCGCCCTACACTACGCCCACCGGTACGAGGCTGCCATTTGAGAACCTTTCTTCCCCATCGGTTATCGGTTCTTCGAGCTATGTGGCCGGCCCATTGCCACTTCAGCTTACTAATCCGTTGGGCTACATCGGTCACTCTGGTTTTACTGCGGATATCCTCATTTCTGAGTCTATCACGCAGAGAAACTCCGAGCATAGCCCTCCCCATAGCTCGCTGAGCGACCTTGAGTGTCCTCATACGGCCAGCAGTGAAGGACCACGTCTCAGATCCGTAAGTCATCACTGGCAACACGCACTGGTTGTACACATTAGTTTTCAGAGATTGAGGTATACCTGACGAGAAGATGTGTCGTAATTTCCCGAACGCTGCCCATCCGAGTTGAATCCGTCGATTTACCTCTCGGTTGGACTTATCTAGTCGGACTATTTGTCTCAGGTAAACGTACTCGTCAACAACTTCGAGCATAGTGCTCCCAACAACTACCGGCATAGGTGTGTCATGGACATTAAACATGAACTTTGTTTTGTCCATGTTCATCTTAAGACCTATCCGTTGGGAGACACTATTGAGGTCATTGAGCATAGTGCTAAGGTCCTCGAGCGATTCTACCATAAGGACTATATCGTCGGCAAATCGAAGGTGAGTGATGTACTCGCCATTGATATTAATACCGTATCCTTTCCAGTCCAGTAGCTTGAAAACGTCTTCCAACGCAGCGGTGAAGAGTTTCGGGGATATAACGTCACCCTGTCTTACACCTCTCTGCAGTTGGATAGGTTTCGAGCTCTGGTTCTGTACTCGGATAGCCATCGTAGTCCTACTGTACAAACACTTCAGCACTTCGATATACCGACTGTCAACTTGGCACCGATGAAGGGACTGTAGCACAAATTTCCAAAACGCCCAAATTTCGACGGAATCAAAGGCTTTCTCATAGTCCACATACGCCAGGCAAAGTGGCAGATTGTACTCTTCGGTCTTCTGTACAATCTGCCGCAGGGTATGTATGTGGTCTATGGTACTGAAGCCTTTTCGGAAACCGGCTTGTTCGGGAGGCTGGAAGTCGTCGAGTCTGCGTGCGAGACGATTCGTAATGACTCTCGAAAACAGCACGTAGACGCGGCTCAGAAGTGAAATCGGTCTGTAGTTCTTCAAAAGAGCGTTGTCGCCTTTCTTAAAGAACAAGACCACCGCACTTCTGCTCCACGCCTCCGGAGTAGTGCCACCATGGAGGACGGAATTGAAGAGCTTCTGAAGGACTTCAAGTACCGGTGTTGCGCCCGCTTTCAAAAGCTCCGCTGTAATTCCATCCTCGCCTGGGGCCCTGCCATTTTTAACGTGCTGGAGAGCCATTTTAATCTCGCTCAGACTGACGTCCGGGATATCATCGGAATAGTGTCGGGTAAGACTTGCTCTTGGATCGTTACTCACACTTGCGTGTGGCTCCAACGATGATGTGTACAGCTGCCCATAGAATCTCTCAATCTCACTCAAAATCTCAGGTGTCCCGGAAACGATGCTGCCACACTCAGTCTTCAGCTTTGACAGTTGGCTCTTTCTGGCAGACAGATCTCTGGCAAAGACTTTGGAGCCCTGGTTCCGCTCGATCGCTTCTTTAATACGAGCAGTATTAAAGTTGCGTAAGTCTCGCCGCATGCATTTGGAGATCTGTCTGTTCAGTTGCCTGTATGCTGTCAAATCTGTTGACGATTGCAGCCTCATCTCCCGTCTAACAGCCATGACATTAAGAGTGTGATCGGAGAGTTTTTGTGTTCCTCTGCGGCGGGTCTTGCAGAACTTAGCTCCGAGCGCATGGACAGTTTCCACGAGCTTGTCATTCATATCGTCCACTGCATTGCAATCTTCTAGGCTCTGAAAGCGGTTACGTAACTCGAGCTGAAAGGTTTCGGGATTCTGGATTAGAGCACGAGGGGGACGGAGCGTTGACTTCATTAGACGAGACCTCTCCAACTTAACGTTTAGGTTCAGTGTGCCTCTAACCATTCGCGTGATCGCTGCCGGTTTTCACCCTTGCGATCACTGAGACATCACTGAACAAATGGCGTCTGGTCCTCATAATGAAGTCAATCTCATTTTTTGTCGAACCGTCGGGGCTCGAGCAGGTCCACATCCTGTGGGGCCGCTTCTGGAAGAAAGAGTTCATCATAAAGAGTCCCTCTTTCTCCATAAAGTCAGCCAGCTGCTGGCCCCTACGGTTCCGTCGCCCTACTCCAAATTTCCCTAACTTCAGCTCACCGCCTTCTCTAGTGCGTAGTTTTGCGTTGAAGTCTCCCATCAACACCGTGTAGTGGGTTTTGGAGGAATGCATGGCTCTAGAAATATCCTCATACATTTCATCCACCTCCTCACTGGAATGTGCCGAGGTTGGTGCGTAGACCTGTATGACCTTCAGCGAATACCGTTTGGTGATTCTGAGTATCAGGTACGCGACCCTCGTCGACACACTCCCAATCTTTACAACGTTGTTGACGAGAGACTTGTGGACGATAAATCCGACACCTCCTTGCGACAGATGGTCGCCCTCCCGGTGATAGAACAAGTTGCCGGACTCGAGGATTACCGTGTCCTCCCCCTCTCTTCGAACCTCAGATAATCCAATAATATGCCAGCGCAACTTGTCTACCTCTTCCTCCAGCTCCAGTATATTCTCGTCAGTCCTCAGGGTGCGTGCGTTATACGTTGCCAGGTCGAATCGTCGTAGGTGGCAACCGAACCTCCACCGGAGATTCTTAGCACCCCCTGCCCCGCCGTTACCATGGTTGCCACCGTAGCCAGGAATAGCGGGGCCGCCGGGGACTGGGGACCGTTTGTTTGCGTCGTTGCTCATGGGGGATATTTGCCATAGTTACCACGCTTGGCGAGCGGGTTGGCAACCGCAGTTTTTTATTATGTTATTGTTGTTATTAGGAAGATGCTGCTGCCCATCTCCTCTCTGTGTCCCTCTGTCGCCTCTTACGACACCCACGGGAAGATATGGGGTAGTGGATATTCTCAACCGCCACTACACGGCATATTGGCTATAACACACATAACGGCATTATGGACTATAACGAATATAATTCGAAATACAACGACTTTTACATGGTGGTCGAAACAAATCTATTTACCTAAAATATTTAATTAAAAAAATTAAATATTTAATACTTAAATAGTTGCTTTGACTAGCATTAACAATCAGCGTCTGCTGTGAACTGCGGCTGTAACATTATACTTTATATCATGTCATTCTAATATCAAAAACTTACTCAGGATAATTCGTGATCAACATATTGTGAAATTATGACCACTCCCAGACTATCTACAACTATCTATCTACATCTAACTATCTACATCTGGGTACACGACACATGTATGTTAAGCCTTATTCTGTTATATTACATTTATTTTACAGACCGATAGTGGAAGCAGAATCATATGAAAACTTGGATCAATTGGAACTAACACAGGCCCCCGTAGTAGATGAGATTTCAGAATTACCTAACATAAGACGAAGTTCTATGCGCAAACTCGTACGACAAGCGAGCATTGTTGAAACACAACGAGACTTAGATGGAAATATGAAAATGACGTACTGGTTCTAATATTTAATATAATACCTTTTTGAAACTTTAGAATAAATAAATATATTAGTAACAGCATGATTTATTCTATTACAATATTTAATATATTATAAAAGATTTATGATAAGAAGTTTTTAAAGATGAAAATAAATTATTGTTTAATAATTATTTTTCTCTCTTAAAATTGCTCATAGTCTCTAAAGTAATAATATTTTTAAATTACACTTACTATTTTAGTAGTATTGTCATTGCTACAGCAATTGCCGTGTTCAAAGGAAATAAGGCAAATCCTACTAAACAATCTACGGGCTACCGTAGCTTCTTCATTGTTGTTGCAGAATCTATGGCAATGTCCTTATTTGTATTTGATGGTAGAGGTTTTATTCCTTTATATAATGAAATTACTAATTTAATACCAATTCGGGTAAAAAGTGGTAAGTCTAAGGTAAGTGGTAAGTTGTTAGCTTCTAAACTGTCCCTAATCGATTTACCTGAACGGAATTTCTGTGTTCGTATCTCTTTCTTGGGCTAACCACGGACTTTGCTTACGCTTCACAAAAAAGTTGTTTTACAGTTGGAGTTTATTTAACAAAATTGTGTATAAGTAGAACCGACTGCCCACATGCGCCAGAATTTGCGCTAGCTCATATTTTTGTCTGTTATTTTGCAGGAGAAGATGCATCGGTATTGTACCACGGTCACGCGTTTAGTGTAAATAATTAACATGCCTATTCAATTCAAATCATTATTCTAGGATAAAAGCCGTATTTGCACACGGCAAAACCAAGAAGTGATCGAATTATATCGTGAGATGTTTCCAAACCAAAGAAACCCACTGTACTCTACTATAATAAATGTAATCCAACAATTACAAAAATTCGGCCAGTTTACGTGAACGACAGCCATATCCTGTTAATTGACAGGAATCGGTTATTGAGTAATTTTAGTAAAACTCTTAAGAAAGTACTCGGAATCCTGCAAAATAATTAGCCATTCTATAAATATTGTGAAAGCTACTGCGAAGACTTCTAAAAACTTCGTAAGAACTAGGGACTATAAATCGCTGCCCGTGTGTTAATTTTTGTCAATTGTTACTGCAATTGTCAATCTGTCTGGCATTGTGATGACTAGGGAAAATCCTCCAAACAGCATTGATGCCTATGTCCAAAAGGGCTGATAATCAATAACATTATTATCCAATACTTTTGAGAAAGTGTTCTGTGATCCAATACATGACATGAATTGATAAACTCAATTGGTAAAGAAATCTTCTTGTCTTATTAATCTATACTGTGCTGATAGATCCTGGGCTTAAATTTCAGACATCCAAATTTGTGTAAAAAATAATGTAGATTTCATCTTTAGATTTGTTGTACTCGTGTTTAATATTGCAACTGAGTCTACCTTTCATCAAATTGCATGTGTAACTTAAATATTGGTATGTAAGATTGATGTGTTTATGTCGTGTTCAATGTTTCAATAATTAATTTTTAAATTCACCTAGGTTAAATTCTTAAATATTGAATTATTTTAAGAGTAACAATGCATGAAAAATATTTTACATGGTAAAGCCACGCAATAGGTATATTATGGTAGTAGTATGAATGAGTTAGCTCGAGCTCGACCATGGTAGGACCACACTCTCACAGAATACCTATATAAAGTAGCAGCTTAATGCTGCTGTATTCCCGATGGTGAGTGTAGAAGAGATCCTTTTTGCTGGAAAAGAGACATTCCATCTTAGTCCACAAGGTTAGGTCAGGCATCTCTATTTTGATTTGATGATATTTAATTGAAGTTGAATGTAGATGTCTATGAGCCACAGCATCCACTTACCAGCAGGTGGACTGTGTGCTCATTTGTCATCCTTTATGTATAACAAAAATATGGACAGTCCTGAAGAGGGTGAGATTGTAATAAATGAGAATCAGTGATGTCTTTATGGTTGCTGCCACAACATATTATAAAGATTAGTAATAAAATTATTATGGTAGCTTATAACAGAGATAGACACTAGATAACTAAAAATACTAGATAGAGTGATGACCTGGTAAAATATGCAGAAAGTTGATGGATACAGGTAGCTTAGGAACATGATTTATGGAACTCCTTGAGGGAGGCCTATGTTCAGTAGTGGACTTGTGAAGAGCTGTAATAATGATGATGAGCTTAGTTACTGTTCCTACTGTATCTGTTAATATAGCTGATAAAACAGAATCATTAGCAGTATTAACGAAATAAAAGTAAGTGGAATAAAGTTATTGACATCAATTTTAACATGGTGTGATGTAAGAAAAAAGAAACTCGAATATTTACTTTTCTATTTTTTTACTTTTCATTCGTTTTTAAAATAAAGTTGAGCTTACACATTACATATTACAAACTAACTGTGTATGAATGGATCATTACTAAGACCAAAGTTCAAATCAAGTTTCATCAAAAAATAAGAATAAAACAATAGTGTCAGATGCAATGCAAAACATGGAGATTAGAGAACAGAAGAACGATCGCTACGTGCTAAAGCATAGCCCACCTGTCCCTGAAATTTGTAGAATTTATGCGCTGCCGTCGGTAAGTAGTTTCTGCAAAGTCATTTTTTAATTAATGACAAAAATAAACATTAACAATGGTGAAATAATATAAAAATAATAATAATAAATCAACCTAGTAGCTAGAATTCTACACCAGGAGCTCGCTCTGAAATACGGTCTCGTGGACCGTAAATTGCCGTATTACAAGTACTTGCCGGAAGCCGTGCTCGAAAATGACCGCGCCAGGCTCTACTGGGACGGGACCATCATCACGGACAGGACTATTCTTGCGAATAAGCCTGATATTGTGCTGATGGACCGGGCACAGTTATGTCTCTATGATATAACTACTAACGCAATGTCAGTTTATTAAACCAATTATGGTTCATAAAAGTTAGCTTGATCTCTGCGACAGCTGTCAGTAAAAATCACGATTATGAAGTCCTGAATTTCTTAGTATTGTCCGTTCATCTTAACTTGACGCGTGAGTGATTGGTAGCACTGTTTCCTCTGTCGCCATCTTAATTTTAGTTTGATTGGTTGCTATCTGTGTGCTCTTTTTCTTTTTAATAATTTAATCTCAGTTTTAAAAATGCCGAAAGTAGTTAAAAGTGCTAAAGGGCGAACTATTCTTTAAATTTACGCTTTTTGTGACAAAGAATAGGCTGAAAGCAAGATGATTTTGCCATTGCAACATGTTCGTGTCCGAGTTGCCGCCATCACCGGTATGTTTTTAGGGTGACCAGTTACAAAGATTTAGATTAACTGTTCTTTATGTAATTCGCTAAATGATATTAAAATATTTGTATGTAAAGAAGTATTATTATTTTAGTAACGTCACGTATGTATTTTAGTAACGTTACTTGCGTTACTAAAATATTCTAATATTATTAACTACCTCAAAAAATAAAGTTGCATTTGTTTAATGAATGAATTACAGATGTATCCAAATCTACTGTAACCCGAATTTTGAGACAAGAAAAGGAGACCAGATCTGTTTTTCAAATTTTGGTGTGCCTGGTATATTAAAAAAAAAACAACACCTGGAAAAAACGATCGAATCGCGATATAGAGATCAAAATCGATAATTCTGATGCTGGTGCAACACGACAAATTCTTATGTCATTTCACGCTGTACGAAAAAAACTTGCTACGTTAAACAAATTACTTGTCGAATTGCGAGATTAAATAAATTTTGAAGGTGGGGGCGTACTACACTATGGAATATATTAAAACGACTCGGATAATACGAAAAGTGTCAATCAAAACGAAAAATGTTAGTGGAACGAACAGATGTAGCAGAACAGTATAGATATAGCTGGCGGTTTAATTACTTGAATGAAATTTTAAAAAATACCAAAAAGAGGGGCGGACTATTGTCTACTTAGATGAAACATTTATTCATTGTGCATATGGGTACAAAAATGATGGCAGTCAGATTCTGAAGAACTTGTATTAGTAAGAGATTCAGGTATGGGTAGGCGATGGATAATTACACATGCTGAAACTACAGACGGCTTCATTAATAATGCGTTACCACTACTAAGATCACAAACAAAATCATCCGACTACCATGTTGACATGAATAGCGATCAATTTATAAAATGTCTGGAAAACAAGTTTTGCCAAACCCGCCTCCTAATTGTGTGATTGTAATAGACAGTGCACCATATCATACTGTACAAATAAATAAAAGTTATGATATGGCAAGCCTCAAAATAGATATGGTAGAGTGGCTTTAAAACAAGGGACTGTTGTTTTCACCAAATTTGCCTAAAAATATTTTATATGAATTAATAAAAAAATATACCAGCGCCCATACATAAAGCTAAAAATTACATGGTCATAATATTTTGCGACTACCCCAATATCTCGCGGATTTAAATCTAATTGAGCTAATATGAAGTGTTTCGAAGAGACGGTTCGAAGAGAAAAAATGGGGGCCAGAGAGGTGATCAATTTGGAATCTCTTATAAAAGAAACGTTAAGCTCAATAAGCGAAGAGCTTTGGAAAAAAGAGTGCTCGCGTGATATAAAAATTGAAGATGAGTACATAGTGAAAAATAAAATAATAGTTGAAGGAAGTGATCGTTTTTTTATTATGGGTTGGCATTGACAGTGACGAAAATGACAGCGACAGTGAGTATTCAAGTAACATTGAAGAAGACATTATTCCTTTACACCTTATTGATCATAATTATATAAAATTATTCTTTTTAACTCTCTCTTAATAAATTTATCACGAATGTTCCTATTGATATATGAATTGTTTCAGAGATATGACATTTAATTAGTATGTCACTTGTAACAGGACTGTACGTACTATGACACTTAAAAAGTCACATAAGTATAGTCATCAGCACCAAATCCATATCCATAATGCCTTTCCCTACATTTTGGGAACGCTATTCACATTGAAACATGCAACACTGTAAATTACAGTGCTGCCAATCGGATTACGCGTCAAGTTACGATGAACGGACAATAGTA